AAGAATAGGCGAGAAGAGAGAGAGAGAGAGAGAGAAGGAGGGCATGCAAACGTAAAAAGGTGGCGTGTTGGGGTGCAGCGAGTCTATTAATGGCCATCCAAGTTGAACTATGTTTGGTTTGCGGGCTTGGCGCGACCATCTGGGAGGATTATCAACGATGTAGAAGTCAAACCGTCCTCACAGAACCGTCCAATTAATCCCCCTCCTCTCCCACTTGCTAAAAGACCGCAAGGGTGCGGTGATCGACTAACTACCCGACAAAACCGCGGCTTCTCGACACGAATACGCTGCGAGAAAATAATTAACTATGTCCGTTTTAGCGGATCGTTCAGCCTGCATGCACATTGCGCTTTCGCAAATGTGGCTACGTGAATCTTCATCCTGTTTAGAGGAATAGCTTGCATAGAGATGTCTTGATTTGACGTAGCAGCAGCAGATCCTCTGTCATGTCAGGCTGTTCCGTCGTGTCCATATGCGCTATTGTGCGTGTAACTACGTACGTTACGTCTATGTCCGAGGATTGAAACACACGAGTATTGTTTCATGGAAAACATACGAAATTTGGAGAAAAGAAGTTTTAAAAAAAGATTAGCTGCATTTCAGAACTGGACAATTTATTATAATAACAAAAATAAAAGAAAGATATTTTTCAGTAAATTAAATCGATGATATATGCAAAAAAGCTTTATGTTAAAAAATAAATAAAATTATGTAATAATTAGTTATTTTTTAACATTATGAATTTTTTTGTTTTTTTTTAATTGCAGACAAAAATTTTCTTTTGTCTTTCATATACGTATGTCGAATTCATTCTGTCAGTCCTCATCGCAAAGTTAAATCTGCTTGCATTTACTCTTAGGTCGAAGAAGCTTGGAAAGAGATCAATATTTCGAGTCGAGTAGGCTATCGAACTTGGATTCATCGACAAATACATCTATCTATACTTTGCCTTTTCAAAGAAGGATTTAGTTTTCATTCGAACAACCGACGTTCGTGTATTTTTCCTTTTATAAATAAAAGAGGAAACGATTTTTCGTTTGATTAACTCATTACTTTTATTTTTAACTAAAAATTTTCAACAAATAATTAGGTCAGAGAAAATTGTTCCTTCCGATCCCGTAATTAGAAAATTAAAGCTACACTAATACTATTAGCGGAAATTGGAATAAACAAGTAAACTGTTTTTAATTAAAGTCACTTTTAATATATTATAACAGCTTCCTTTTTCAGAAGAAGCTTAAATGAAAATTGATACCGGGCAAGTTTAAAATTTAATATTTATTTTCAGCGCTTTATTGGGTTAAATAAAAGAATTTATAAGAATCACATGATCATGGACTGAGTTTTATTTATTAAAACAACATGTTTGGCCTTTGATATTACTGCTTGTTGCGTCCCGTAACCGCGCGCGGTGCAAGAGCCTGTCATCGGCGTCCTAGAAACAACTTCGGTAACACGGGAAGCGGGATATTAGTGAACAATGGTAGCCATAATGCTTCCTGCCGGTTATAACGCCGAGTTATACCTGCCTGCAACTTGAGTCAAGCGCAAACCTAGGATTGGATGGCAGACAATTTAAGCTCGGCTTACGATTTAAACAACGGTTGCTGTACAAGCGGGCCTCCATCCAACCCCCCCGGCCCCCCCCCCCCCCCCGCCCCGTTTAAACACTCTTACAACCACCCAAATGTGGTATGGATTAATTCATTCAACGTCCCTATCTGCATCCGGGAAGGGGCTTTTAGGCGCTTAAAGCGGGAAATAAATCTATCCCGCGCGGCGAGTCTCACCGAGATCGCAGCAGCAAAGAATCTAAATTGCGGTTGCCGTTGTAATCCATCGTTGTCACCCACGCGAAATAAATGATATCCGTAATTGTACGTACCGTACATTTTATTAAGCTAGCCATTGTTCGTCGCCGAAAGTAAACTGTCTAGTGGTGCGTATTTCCGCGTCGTATATTTTGCGCTGAATGTGGCTGTCCGGCTTCCACTTCATGTTACGTAGAAACACGTCTTTCGGAACGGAGAAGAATGGAAGGATCAGTGTCTGACTATCATGTCTCGTGTTAAAGCAATAATGTTTTGCGCTGATATCAATCGATCTACGTTGGAAATTTTGAAATTTTTAGAAACAAAATTCGTAAATCACAAGTAATAAGCGGCATGAATTCTTGAAAAATTCTTACTCCGCGTTACTATAACAGTAGTAATTCCGTAACTTATAATGCATTTTCTGCTCCAGACTGCGAAATAATGGTCGCCGTGCTAACTTAGCGTTACGTCAAAAGTTCCGGCGAACGTTTAACATACGTCCGACGCACTATTTATGGCCCATGAAATATTTCCGCGTTATAATTGTGCCTTGAAGCCTGAATTCATAATGCTCATTTTCTGACGCTGTAGGTTATCCCCACCCTCTTTGTGCCCCGCGAGCACTTAAAAAGAAAGATATGTAAGGAGCATTAAATAAATTTACACTTTCAGTGTTCCTTCACGGTGGCGTAAAAGAAGCACATGACCTGATTAGTCTCCTTTTTTCTTTTCTTTAAGTTGGATATCGTGAAATTCATTTACAATTTTTATGGTGGCCCTAATGAGAGACTTTCGTGTCCGACATTAAATCATTTTCTTCTGTTTTTTACTCGAGAATAAATTTCTCTCGCGAAAAATTATACGGTCTAATAATAGTACAATACATTGTGGAATTAACATTATATTGTACAAGTCATAAACGTTATAAATTCTATCACTGAATTAATCAATGAAACAACATACTCGTATTTACTATTAATCATAGCAAAAAGGATAAAATCCACAGAAACCAAAGCGCGAAGTGAGTGCATTTCCTGTCTTTTGACGGGAAAAAATTGTTAGAATGCTAGCAATCGAGAAGAGACCATTGCGAAAGCTCGGTCGAGAATCGCACGATCGTATTGGGAAATTGGAACAGCACCGACCGCGTGCCGTTCTTCTCGCACTGGTTTATCCCCAGTGCTTTTAATTTCAAGCTACGGAGCTCTTTATACCTGCGAGGGGCATAATTATCTACAAAAGGGTGGAGGATCGGCATTGAATATTTTAGCTCTCGCTTCTCGCAGCACCGTCGATCACCCTCTTCTTCTCTCTCTTCTTCCTATTCCTCTTTCGGTTTCATACTAACGCTCCTCCTTCCGTAAACGAAAATAAAAACGGATAAGCGCAGAAAAGCGGAAGGAGGCTTGTGACTTAAAAAGCAAAAATGGGAGGGATCCTTTTCTCGTCTTATGGCTCTAGGATTAGGTAGGAAAGTTACGTCAGGAATTTTGCGGCCAGCTTTGCATAAGTTCCAATTCTATCTCGTTTCTTTTCATTCGCGTTGTTTCGTATTCTGTCTCTATGTTTCATGATGCTCATTTTGGACGCTGATGTCCGATAAAAATGCAGAACTGCGCGTATTAACTTCTATATCGTAATCCGACAAGTTATTTCGTTTCTAAGCTATTAAAGTATCTTATTACTTGGCTGATTTATGATTTAATACTTTTTTTTTTCCTAATTCTTAGAATTAAAACATTAGAAAAGAGAGGATAAAGAGTAAATTGAACAGAACATAAATCGGTTAGCATTATTTTCATAAAATTATTTTTATAAAAAGTAATGTTTTAGAAAAGTATTGCTTGTGCATATATACGCTATTTTTTATTTCCTGTAAAACTTAAATAAATGTTGGATGCAACGTTCTTTCAGAAAGCCCTTCAAATAATCTTGTCTCTAGTTTAAAAAAAAACTATAAAATGTATTTATATTTAAAAAGTAAAATTTTTAGAATATATATATAATGTTTAAAATATAAAATTTCTCTTATCAATTTGTTAAAGTTAATAAATATATTTTCTCACAATTAATATGAGAAAATATTAAAATATAAATTTGCGCAAGAGAATCTTAAAGTGAGAAGTATTCATCATTTTTGACAATCAACGAACCTAGTTTATCGTTATAATTAATACGATGAACGATCATGATATTATGTACATGAGTGATTCAGGGTGTGATGTTGGTTTCGTCATGTTGTAAAAGTCAGCAAATTTATTTTATCGTTATAGTTAATACGAGGAAAGAGCGACCGACGAAAATGAATTGCATCGATATGCAAATGTCCTTCGATCGTAATCAATTTGACATATCCCGCAATTTTTTCTGTTATAATATTGTTACATATTAATATTAGCATTAATTTTTTTTTCCTTCAGTAATTTAATTTGTAATTTAATTAAAAGAGCTTGGACAGCTTTTCTCATGAAAAAACATAATATTCCATTACTTTCGAGAATACCATAGCGAATTGATGAAATTATTACCTCGGGAGAAAATTTAACGAAAAGTGATCTTCGACAAGTCCCATCTCTACAGGCCGTGCACGTCTGATATAAAGTATTTCACATTGTTGAAATGGAAGAAAAAACCGGAAGATCTGTCTTTCGTGACGCGTTTCGCCTTCCCGAACACAATTCCGCGCAGCCGGTGTTCAAGAATGAGGTATAAACCGTTGATAAATGATCACGGCAGAAAGAACAGCCTCGTAATTGTAGTCTTATTAATGGCTCGCAACTGCACGGTGTAACGACCTGTAGCTATAACACGCATCTCGTTTGTATTTCGTAACCGTAATCTGCCAATTTACGGCGTGAAATCGCTTGTAGCACGAAAACGTGCATGAAGGTATTCAAATAGGAAGAGAATGAAAAACAAAGTATCTAGAATAAATTTTCAATTGTTTCGGAAAGACAGATTTCTTTTTATTAATTTAAGATATTAAATTTACTTGTAATTACCTATAATTACGGGTATTAAATAAATTTTTCTTTCTAAAGTCTATAAAAGTCAGATCAGTGTATAAATTAATTATTATATTGTAATATATTTAATTATTAACACTTTCTGGAGAAAATTGTTAAGAAGAGAAATTTTTCTCTATCGAGATATATACTTTGTTAATCCGAGATTATGTTCTTTCAGAATGTCCAGAGGCCAAGGAGGGTGGTCCGACGAGCCCTGCACTTCCGGCAGTGTAAGTCGTCGCAGTGGAGCACGACAGGCAGCGGGATCTTCGAGATCGGCATCTTCTACCGTGGAAGAGCGAGCTTCTAGTAACACACCGTGTAAAGGTGGCTTTAGATTAGGAGTCTACGGCTGGAGGAAAAAATGTCTTTATTCACTTGTGTTAACCCTTATGATCATTGTCATACTCAACCTCGCCCTCACCGTCTGGCTTCTTAAGGTCATGGGATTTAATTCCGTAAGTTTATCAATAATGAATTAATAAAATATTATTGTTATATAAATCTTTAATTAATGTTATAGGCTCATTAATATTATATATATAAATATTCATAGTTTTTTAAATAAAAATTTGAGAAAAGGTACAGAAATGGTAAATTTCGACCATTTATTAATTTGAAAATTTGATACCTCTTGTAACTCAAATGATAAATGTATGAGAAATAATATACGCGTATATCATGAAAACGCCGAAACGCACTGCGATCCAAAATGATTCCTTCCGGTTAGTCTTCACCAAGTTTGATCTAGATAAGGACGTGTGTAACTTTCGACAGTCATTAAAGTCGACTTTCGTCTTGCGGCTTGGAATTAGTTTTGCGCGAGTTCCTGAGCCCGAATAACAGGCCTCGACGATGTCGGATCGTACTAGCGTGGTGTGCGATCGGAGTAGGTCGCTTTGAGAGCGGCATCGGCAGTGAGGAGAAGACGAAGCGCGAACGTGGTTAATATAATTTGCTGTAATTGCCAGAACCGTTACATCGACGCCGTTGTTATATTCCTCGCGGAAAATTGTCGTTTGCACTTCATACTTCTTCCTCTTCTGGACTTAATTCGGACGCGTTACAATTACCCGTCCCCGGGAATCGACCGGGGTTCATTAGTAAGTAAGCGGCGGCGTTCGAGCGTTCTCCTTCGCTTCTCGCAATCCCGGAGAAACGCGACCCGCACCAACTTCTTGATTGCGATAATGGTTGTAATATAAAGGCCGTTTCGATGTAAATGTCTGTGTCGCGCGCGAGGGCCACGATACGACTTTCCTAAGTTAGCGAGACACGTTTGGCGATTTTAGATCGAACGAGAAGACATGCTCATGTATCGTATTAAATATGTTAATTTTGATATTCGTTGGAGGAAATGTTCTACGATATTTTAATAACATACATATGCAAAGCAATATAAATCTAATCAAGGTCAATCAAACTGAAAACCGAGCATGAGACATTAATAAATACGATTTATTACCTTATTCAATTAAATCAATATAGTTAGTATAACGGAACGTTTTGGACTTTACTTAGCCCTCCGCAGCCTGAATATCTTCTCAATATATAATTAAAATACTATTATTCATACGCTAATTTATTAATTAAAATTTTTCAAGATTTTTTAAATAATTGTGTATGTTTAATATTAAACATATCGACAAGAAATAAATAAATATTTTATTTTACAAGTTATAATTAATTTAAAATTGGAGGATTGCATCTTATTGTTAGTGTATAATGTTTAAATAAACAGTGTGCACAATGCACCTTACATCTTGTAACATTCGATTCAACACCCGCGCACGCAAAGAGAGAGAAAGATTCGCATAAATTCTTACAATCCACTTTACCATTATCACCCAGTCGTATCGGCGTTTTTACTTCTGCGAATCGTCATTCGTATACGCATCGTACGAGCAGATGCAACAATGGCATTGAAATTCGTCAATGCTAAGCTGGCGCCTAGTCGGCTCGATTAAGGCAAAACGATCGTGAGACTCTCCAAGCCTGGTATTGGTCTCGCGCCCCCCGTTGAGCTACAGCTACCTATTCGCCATTATCGAATTTATTCGAAATCGAAAGGAGCTTCCGCGATCTGGCGCAATGATCCCTCGATGGGGGCTAAACTCGGTGGAAATTGAGTATCAATCCGTAAGTAAGGAGCCCGAGAGCAGCAGGGATACCCCGTGGGAAATGTAAGTCTCTGCCACTTCTTTCCCCATCCCTCGTCACCCTCCAGTTTCTCTCCCTCTCTCTCTCTTTTTCTTTTTCTTTTCGCTATCTTTTCCGTTTCATTCCGTTTCCATTCCTTGTACAATCGTCCACCAACCCCTTACTACTCTTTCATCCCCATTCCACATCCTATCCTCTCACAGTGATTCTCTCATTTGATCTCCCACTCCCGGTTTTCTTTGGCTCTTCTCTTCTCTCTGTTTCTCTCTCTCTTTTTTTTTTTAGGCATCCTTCAATTGCGTTAATACTACTCAGTTTGCCAATTCGCGCTGAAAACTTTTCCAACTAATGTGTCGTTCTCTCTCATTTTGCTCTCCTTCATCTATCGTGAGTCGTAATTAGCAGCGATAATTAAACTCTCGTTTATCGGCTACTACTCGCACCGATAACTCATGTCCGATTAATTGTGCGACTCGGTAAATCAGTGAGACAATCAATTAGGAGTTCGGGCGCGTTAATTATTGCATACGGCCACTGCGGGCTGCTGCGATCGACGATTTATGGAGATTTCTATTCACGACGGCGAGTGAAGTTCGGGAATGTAAGCCAACATATCTCTGGAAAGGCGAGATGTAAGATTCGTCGATAAGTCCGCAAATCGAATGACCATGGAATATATATATATATATATATATACGACTTACGCGCGACAATTTCATATACTACGTGCACTTCGTGAGAAGATAATCTTGTAGCGCGATACATAAAATTTTATATGTGAAAGACGGATGGATTTTGCATAAACGGATTGACTAAACGAATCCAAACTACATAAAACCGTAAAACGTAATATGATGTCGCGTACATTTTCGTACAGTTTAGATCAATTCTATTTTAGAGAAAGTAACAATTTTCATAGAAGATTCGAAATTTCAATATGACATTTTTAATATTAACTGATCGTTTTATAAATTTTATTATCTCAAGTATTTTTAACAGTTTTAGTAGTGTGCAATCTTCCGGGATATGAAATGAAACAAGTGAAGTATACACAGTACTACATCTCGCGCTTGTCATACATATGTAAAAAGAAATGAGAAAACTGGAAGAGAGTATCCGAAATTAAGGTATTTTTGTATTTTTTAATACAATCAACCGCGATACGGATATAAGTCTGGCGGAAACATGTTTTACAGGGTAAAGGGAGACGACACAAATTGAACGACAATATTTATTTTACAACGTTATACAAAGACTTTGGAATTATTTAATCTAAAACTTCTTTCACATGCTACGAGATAAATTGTAAAAAATAATATTTTAATGATGCCAATTACATTGTTAATCAAAACTAAAAATTCAAATGATTGGATGAATTAAATAAATGGTAAATATTTCTATTTCTATCTAGTTTTTCTTATTTTTCAAGTACCGTCCTATTTATGATATACATCGCAAAGAACGTAAACGCAGTTTTCGGCAATACGTATCCATTATGATGTGTAAAAACCAACATCACTGTGGTTACAAGCACCGCTGAAACCACGAGTCACGGAGTGTTACGTAGAGTTGGGAGCTGGAACTCCTCGGAACTCGGTTGATACCCATCTAGAAGTTTTCCGCTCCTATGCGAGGTGTTCCTAGGCGAGTAAAAGCACGATGCACTCCCAGACCGGGAAATATTTCATGCTCACCGTACTTCTCCCCCATCTTTATCCACCCATCCTCCCCGACCATTCATATTTGATGAGAGTCTCGGTCTGCCTCCCACTGCCTCTTTTCACTCTCGAGTTACCCCGTCTCAGCCAACCCCGACCGACGTTTTCCTATCCGCTCGTCCTCCACCGCAAACGATACCGCGAAGAAATTAAATCATTTTTCTCAATTAAGAAAACCGTCTTGCTCCTCGTAACTGCGAAACTTTCACCCCGATGGAATTAATTAAGAGCTCCTCGATCGGTGCACTTTATTAATGAAGTCTGGTTTCGCCGCAATCAATGTTACCGGTTAATAATTTCTCGTATGGCTAACAATTTTCCAACATATTCATTCGTGAATCGTATGAAACACTCTCAGAGGCGTACTTTACCTCGAATAGTCTTTCCGACGAAGTTAGAATCAATTTTCTTTTCTAGTGGAAAATTAAACGTCTGATATCTTTTCGTAACTTTAAGTATCTCGACGGCTAAGCTCCTTATAATTTGAGAAACTTCCTTCATTTATCATTTACGTTTTGCACCATCCGAGATTATACTCCATCAATTTTTAATACTCTTATGTTTGTGTTATGTATTGCCGCATTTTATTTGTAATTTTCGACTACGTACCATTTGGATACATTTTATTATCGATTGCGTGTGCATCTTTACATCGGTATGAAAAGGTTTTTCCTACAAAGCACTTTGTCGTTTCACGAGTATCAATATTTCGGGTTCCTTTCGGGATTTCTATCAAGTGGAGAGGTCTTAGGAGAGATCTTCGATTACAGACAATATATAATACACCCTGAAACGTTATGTCGGACGAACCAATATACAGACACTATATTGGCACTAACGGCTTACATACATGGCCATAGCGAACAGATGCCCCTTCCACCTAATATCGCTTGCGGGACCTTACCCTCTATAACCCTTGTATCCATAGAGAATTCACCTGTATACATTCCTTCCTATATCCTCTACGAAGATACATATTGCACACGCGCCCTCCACACCCATACAAGGTGGCTCCTTTCGCAGGATCGCTTCCATACAGAATCAATTGAAATCCGTTTCGAAATGAATAGTACTTGGGAACTCGAGTCATGCACATACATTCATGTACGTTTCCATTAATTTAACACGTGTAAAATTAATTTTTTAACCATAGTAACGTGTAAAACATAATAAAATGAATAAGAAAAAATATTTATTATTACACTGTTTCGTAAAAATTTTAAAATAATTCTGCTTTAATATTCTTTAAATTAAATTAGAGATTTTCATTAAAGAAAGAAATAATATAAAAAATGTTAATCAATATTCTTTTAATTAATTATGTTTTAATACATTATTTAAATATTCTTAAAATTAGTAATTTTACAAATTACTATCATATAAAATTTAATTTACATTGGTAATCAATATATATGTATAATCTAATATAGTTCTGCTAACATTGTAATTAATATATTTACGTAAATAAATAAGTATAGAAAATTCTGGCATAGAGCAGAAAATTAAATTAATAACTTTACATAAATTAAATGATCAGGTCAAATATCACTAATTTTATTTTACGATAAATTCCGTCATAT